GAGGAGCGGCGGGCAGCGGTTTCACGCAGTTTGCAAGGCAGGCAAACAGACCTTGTTTGAGCTTACGTGCTCAAGCGTGCTTGTTTTCCCCGTCTGTTCCCCTCGGCAAGCGTTGCTTCTCGTTTCGTACACCCCCATTGATGACCACAGCGCAGCTACTGCAGTTTGTTTCAGCACGCGTAAAAAAACAACCTTCCTTCTGGAAGACCTTCTGCCAGTTTTATGGGTTTTGAGGAACGATCTCATTTCCTGGAAGCTTTATGGCATACGTAATTACTGTGTCACAAAAGCAACTGGGAAGTGGCTTGTAGAAGCAGCCAAACACAATTCTTTCTCCGTGTGTTCTTACGTTGCGGAAATTTATGCAAAGGGCTGTAGATTTTTTTTTTTTCTTTTTCCTTTTTTACTTTGACAGACCTTATCCGAATTTTGGTTCTTCGGCTGTGTTTTGCAGCTTGTCTGTCCTGCGGAGAGCCCAGGGCTTCCTGTAATCCTCAGTTTGGTTGCACCGGGCCTCTTTCCATTCCCTCAAACGCAGTGTATCAGCCTGTCATACGTGCGGTGTGGTTTTACTTCCCATTCAGAGTTTATACTTTCTGTGAAATTACTGGGTAGGAAAAGCGACTTTTGGAGGAAAAAGCGTGGCATAGCACATAGAAAGGCCCACCCTGAGAAGGATTGCTCTTCCTGAGGAGCTCTGCTATGGCGTCCACCAGAAAAGCAAATCCAGATGACAGCAAGCACGCGTTTGCAATGTAAAGCAGTCTTGTTTTGCCCTAATCCTGTGGCCTGGGACAGCCAGGATAAAAGGTGGGATATGTACTGCTACAGAACTGGAGCATAGGGGAGGAAAGCAGAGGAAAGGGGAACAGCAGGGCGGGTTCATGTTAAATACAGTGTGCTAATTTGTGGCCAGACCCAATCAAGCTGCTGGTATGAGTTTCCCATCTGAGCTGCCATCCAAGCACCCTTCGCTTGATGTCCTGCTGGTTCCTCGCCCGTGCGCTTTGGGTCTGTAGTTGGGAAATGTTGCTGAAGGTTCCACAATTCTATGGTGATCGTTGAGTCTTTACGTTGTCTCTGTGCCCTTGGGAAGTCTTGTCTCTTTCTTGTGAGTTACGTTGGGTTTGGCAACGATCAGCAAGGTGGACCTTGCACAGCCGGCGCTTTAAACTCTGACCCTGGCTGGGTCCTACAGGTGTCGTCACAGGATCAGCAACGGGCTTTGCAAGGGGATTTCAGCAAAAATCTTCTCCTGCATAAACGCAGCTGGGCACGCTGCTGTAGACAAAGTCCTACTGGTCGCCTTTAAGTGGGAATTTTGGAAAAATTAACAGAAGTTGAACAAATGTTGGCTAATAAGCGAGGAAGAGTGATCCATAGCACATGCTTGGTGGGGAGTTTCGTTGGCAGAATTGAAAACTAATTCAGCAGTCTCTGCTTCAGTAGTTTATGAATTTATGCTGTGCTGTGACTGAACGGAGGACCAGCGTGGCTTTGGGATGCAGGAGCGATAGGACTGAGGCTGTAGAACAAAACAGGACTGAGCTGTGGCCATACGTGGACTTATGTGGTTGGTTTTGGGAACTACACTACCAAAAATCTCTTGGCAAGCTGTAGGGAACTGAGCCCAAAACAGCAAGAGTGGGGTGGGTGGAGGGACAGCCTGAGACGAGGTTTAAAAGTGCCTGGTGGTTTGCTCCAGGTCTGGAAGAAACAAAAGCAGAGCCTGTAATTTTGTGAACATTCTAGTGGTGTGAATATGAGCAAAGGAAAGATTTATTTTTCTGAAAGCTGAAATCCATGAAGTCCCCAAGCTCCAAAGCTCATCCAGTGAGTTACTGCTCGTTAGCCTGCTGTCATTTTTATCCTTTGTCCTGTAACAATTGCCTGTATTGGCTGTTGGATTACTGAGCGGTTTTTTCTTGCCCCTACAAGCTCTGCGGGGCAGATAGGATATCTTGGCTCGTCTCTTGGCCTGCAAGCGTTGTTTGCGCTTGCATAAAGAATGTGATACCCCCATAGTGCAAGGTCTGTAATGTGCAGTCTGCAGGAGGAGATGAAACATCCTACTCGGTTCTAGGCTCTGGATAAAGGACTGCAAGCTCGTCAAGTTACTGATGCCTTTGTAAATAATGTCGTCTGGTTTTAATTGTATTACATGTGCCTATTCTCTTTAATGGGGGTGCAATATATAAACTTCAGAAAGTACAGACATGAAGAGATCGGTCTGATATTTGGTTAAAAAAGGACAAAAAAGTTTTAAAAGATGGTGCTATCCAGCTGCCAGGGAAATGCATGATGGAAAGATTCTTCTTGGAGGAGCCTCACTTGGTTTCACGGCATTGTCACCTGTGCAGTTAGGCCAGGCCTGAACGTTTGTCCCCTCTCGGCTGAAAAGGACAGAGGACAGCGTCTGAGCCTTGCAAGGAGGAGGCGATAGTCTGCAGCAGTTTACCCAATATGCCTGCGCACCCCACTTAAGAAAAGGGAAACTGGATTTATGCAATTCGTATTTGGTAATTGAGAGAGAAGATGGTTTTCACAGCTGCTTCTACACATGTCAAATACAGTGCAAGAGAACAAAGCACCCTTCTGACTCATGTGTTACGGGTCCTACCATGCTGCCAGCAATCAGTGCTGCAGCTCTCTGTCCCCGAAGGGGGAGTGTCCCTGTGTGACTGGCATCCCACGGTGTTATTTTCTAAGCTCTCTATAAAGATACGGTATTGTCACATAATTTGCCCAGCACTGTAGAGTCTCAAAGGCAGGAGATAAAGAAGAATAATATGCTTTATAATATGCTAGAGAACAAATGTGGAAATGCTTCTCTCTTAAGGAGAGACGTGGAGAAAAAAAAAAAAAGGAGAGGACAAGGCCGCACCGCTTTGGTGGTCCACTGTGGCTCCCGGACTGTCCGGCTGGGTAGGCCTGGGATTTTGGTGGAGGTTGCGTGCTTTGGGAGAAGCAGGCAATATCTACAGCAGTAGCCCTCACATCTGGGCCAGAAGCAGCAGGAGCTCAAGGGTTGGTTGAAAAGGTGAGGGTCTTTCTGACGAAGGATGGGGGGGTCTTAGAGCGGTGGCAAAGGTGAAGAGGGGTCTGTTTATGGGAGAGTGGGAAGGGCAGATTGAGCTTGGCAGTCTCTTAACTTTTTTTTTTTCTTTTCATCTTTTTCTCATTTCAGTTCTGCTTGAATCACTCAACAAGAACGAGCAATCAGCCAATGGCCAGTCCCAATCCAGGGAGTCCACAAATTCCCAGTTCAAGAAAATGAGCGGAGACTTCCCATCGGCCAACGGAGAGGCTGGTGGGGAGGCCCCCAAGGGCTACACTCAGGACCAGGTGGATGCAGTGAAGAGGTGTGTGCGCAACTCTCCATGACTTCAACTTATAGTTTGAGTTTAGTACTTGATACCAGTCTGTTTTTCACAATGTTTGAAAGATGTAATGATGGAACATGAAGGAGGAAGGCAGAAAGAGTAGGTAGAGTTGGACAACAACTCATGTTCTGTGCCGTGTTGTGAAGAGATCTGGTCAGCTTTGAACCGTATCGAGTTGTTTTTCATTCACTAGGAGTTTAGAAAGGTATCTAGGAGGATTTATAGCTACAGCAGCCCTGGGAGGCAGCTGGGTTGGGTCTACAAGGGATGAGATTTTTCCCCCAAAGGCATGTACGAGGGCTAGAACTGTAGGCACGTAGGCCTTTTCCAGTCTGAGGTCCAAAGAGGCATTTTGGATGCATTCATCTCATGGACTTAACATTAATGTTTGCTTTAGTGTTATGCAATAATACTGTGAAAAATCCCATGCGGTCCTGAGATCCTGTAGGTGGAAGTCATGGCTCGTAGCTTGCAGTAGGCAGCCGTCCTGCTCTAAGCTTTGCTCTAGTAGCAAGTGACAGGACACATCCTTCTTCCTCTCTTCTGATGATATTCTGCTCATGGTCTCTCTTAGAGCCTGATAAAGTAGAAATCCACCGCAGGATGCTTCGCTCTATTAGCATGATACACTTCTAAAGCTTCTGCAGGAAAGTCCCAGGGCATGTTTATCCAGTCACCGGTTTTCCTAACCCTGTTTGAAGCTGTTCTTTATTCCTTTCTACCGTTTGCAAATACTGGAAGTTGAAGGACTGAACTGCAGGCACAGTCACTTGGTAAACTTTGTTTCAGGTTATGGGCATGGTCTGAATTGCGCAAGAGCTGCTCTGGCTAATGGACTTACGGGGATGCTTGTTACGTCATCCATTTTTCCAAAAACCGAGCCTGCTGTATTCTATTTCATCGAAGTCACATGAGGAGGAACCATCGCTGGGCTGCGAGTGTACCCAGAACGAGCTGGGCTGCTCACACAGGCCTGGGCAGCTCCCTCTTTCTTCCTCTAGAATTCAGCTGATGTTATTTTTAGGTCTGTGAATTAACTGAGTCTGAGGAGAGGAGGAAGAAGGCCAATAGCCCAGCTATCTTTCAGATCCCGGCCTGCAGTTTAGTCCCTCCCAAACAGCCTCCAAAACATGAGCATGATGAATCTGAAGCTTATTTGCCAATCACATACTTCAGCGGTTGATATCATTGCCTGAGGAGAGGCCCTTCTACCTCTACTGGCTTGACTTGTTCTGTGAGAGTGTTTGTGTGCTAGTAATGCAGGCACAGCGGGAATGAGTCGGTGAAAAAAATTGGGTCACCCTCTGAGGAATTAGGGCTGAGTAAACCAGAGCTCATTGAACAACTTTGATCGAAACTGTGATGTGTGAGATGTTGCAGAGTCGATGTATTCAATGCAAAGTGGTTTTCACAGCTGAAACTAACTGTCCGTGTTTTCTCCCCTCTCTACTGGCAGGGTAAAGCAATGCAAAGATTACTATGAAATTCTGGGAGTAAATAGAGAAGCTTCTGATGAGGACCTGAAAAAGGCTTACCGGAAACTTGCACTGAAATTTCACCCAGATAAGAACCACGCACCAGGGGCTACAGAGGCATTTAAAGGTAAAGAACATTTCCAACTTTGTGATTTGCCCTCAGCTATCAGGCGATGGTGCTGAGTTGGGCTATCAAGAACTCTTAAAAACAACCTCACGAGTCAGGTAAAGTGAAATAAAGCTGCTCTTAGTAAAGTTGTATCTTTTCTTCTGAGCTGGTTATATTATGAACAAAGTATACTCTAAGCTTAAAATACTAAACACAGGTTGGCCATGGATAGGCTTCACCTCTGCTAGTCGGACAAGGAGAAGCCTTCCTTCCTTTTCTCCTAGCAGCCCTTCCTGTGTGTTGCTCCAGCCTCCTGCCACGCTGCTCAGGAGGAAATTCCCTCGGGAGGTTAACCGTCTTTTTTTTTTTGGAGAGATGCAGGAGCATTCACCTAACAGGGAGAAGCTCCAAGTCCTGCAGCTGTCCCGCACGGGGCAGGTGCTGGGTGCACCCCTGTCTACTGACAAATCCAGCAGAAACCCAGTAAGTTGTGCAGCACTGGAGGCAGCTCTTGGGTTCACGAATCCCTCGAGAGAAATGTTGCTGGGCAGGCCCAATGGAAGGAAACTCAGTCTTCTTCAGAACTGGTATTTAGACTCTTCCACTCATTCAGCATTTTGGGCAGCCAGTAAGCCTTCAGGTTTCTAAGCAAGCACTCGGCACCTGACTGTTGTGAAAGGCTGCAGATGGAATTAGTGGATAGAAACCCCAGGTGAAAATTTCTAGGGTGAAACTGCCCCAGCCATACAGCTGAGCCCAGCCAGAACTCAAAGAAGGTCACCAGGAACTTCAGTTCTGCTGTAAAGAGCCTGATTCTCAGGGCCTCTGTACAAATGCAGCAGGGATGTTTCCTGGGTAATAAGATACCTTAAAACTGGAATAATTTTCCAAGAGAAATGCTATTGCTTGGAACATATAACCCCATTTTGCTTTGCAAGCTGTGGAATTTTGATTATTATCATTGAGCTAGACGGAAAACTTCTTGATACCAGTTGTACAGCACTGATTTTGCAGTGTTAAGCCATTTAAATACTGTGGTCTGATTCTGGCCGTCTTGGAAGTGAAATGCCTGAGACTTCTGCTGGAGCAGGGAGCAAGGCTAGCCTGGTGTGAGTGTATTGATACAGTACTCAGGTAAGCTTCTAGTAGACATGAATTCAGCAGTAAAAGTCTTATGTAAGGTTTGTTCAAGTCTTTTAAGACTTAAATCCATAACTGATAAGTGTGTTGCTGTTAGCAAATAACAAGCTGACCCCCAGCTACTTGGGAGAGCCTGTTTTAGTACGGGGGACAGATTAAAGAGTGAGCATCTGCAGACATCTATCTACGCCGTATGTGCAGTAAGCCGCTGTTCGATAGTTTACCCTTCAATCCTTGCTAAGTGGCGAAAGGCAGGTTTCTTCACCTGTAATCTTAAATAATGATGTTTGCCAAAGGCTTTGACAAGAGTTACATGCCAGAAGTCGTGCGTTAAGCAAGGTGCCCTTTATCCCCCACTGCAGAGCTATCTGCTCTCAGATTATCTCTCCTCCAAGCCTTGCCTCGTTGGCTCCCCCGTCCTTCAGTCCCCCAGCTGAGCTCCTAGTTTGCAGGGGTCGCTGAAGTCCAGCTGTTTGGTTCCAGAGGGTGAAGGGGGAAACGTGCACTGCTATGAGGATTTTAGTTAATTTTTTCTTACGTTGATGTGTTAGCTGAAGTCTTGGCATTCGTCTTCCCAGTGACAGCTGATAAAGCGTTACATCTTGTCCTGAGACCTTGTTTCGGTCCGTAGTTGCAGTTGGCTACAGTCTGTCTTGTAGCAGATTTGCATCACTACCTTTGGCTGACGTTGGAAGAAGAGTTGAACCTGGCTCCTTTGAGCTAAAATCCTGATTTGGAATGAGGTGTTTCTTGGGCTTTGTCAGCAGAAAGGCAGTCGCTCCATTTTCGTTGCTTAACCGCACAGTTTGAAAGAACAAGTGAATATGCTGAGAGTCAGTCCTTGTCATCCAGCTTCCTTGCCTGGTTGTAGAAATGTTTGCTCTGTGTGCACTAATTATAACCAAGAAGGAGAACAAGCGTATTGACATTACTCCACGCTCCAAATCTCTAGTCCAAGAAGAAACCGTACACCTCGATCTGACTACCCGGAAAATGTTGAATCTTGGAGTTCATCTCCTCCAAAGGGCATGTATCTCCCTTTTCTGTCACTTCTGCCCCTGTCTCTTACACACCAGGCAACTACTGCCATGACCATCTTTGCCTCCTTACGACACGGAGGAGAGGAGATGGGCTCTGCAGTCACGTAGGGAGGCTCTTGGGTGGGTTGGTACAGAGGGGAAGTGGTAAGTCGAGAGAGAAGTACAGAAATAGGAGGGTGGCAGGCAGACATTCTGGTAGAAAGGCTCAAACGTGCTGCTGAGGTTGCTGGGGAACTGGCGGGGGTTTAGTTCCAGTACATTTCCACTGTCACAGGCACTGTTTAATAGTCCTTGTAATTACACACCTTACTTCTGGCATCTGGAAACTTTGAAATTCATAGCTGACAGACACAACTTCTAGCCAACGTTCCCTTACGAGCTTTTATGGGAGGTTTTAAAGTCTCTTTCAGGGATCTAGCCCATATTTAAATTCTTTGCAGTTCTGGTTTTAGGCTATGACATTGAATTCCCTTAATGCCACTTTTGAATAAAATTTGTCAACTAAAATTGTGTTTTCCTGTACAGTTGCTTACAGCTGAAGGATTTGGGCATTAGTTGTTCAAAAGAAATAACAAGTTGAATTAAGTGAAACATGTAGCTGCTCTACTACCAGTATTTCCTTCGCAATTCATAGTTTCATTCATCTGAGAGGGTTTCTCTAGGGACATATACCGAATTCATACCAGTCATCGTAACTTCTTCACTTGAATTCATTAAGGCCTTTTTCATTGAGTCTTTTGGTGCGGTTTCCTTCTGTCTGTGTTTGCCAGAGAAGCGTGCCAGGTACTAGTGCTGCGCTGCTGAAGTAGCCTGTTGAAAAGACATGGGTAGTTGAGAATCTCATTTGTGTAATGAGAAAGGCAAGTCCTGGCAGTTTGTAGGGCTAAATGTATTATCTGTAGAAGAAAGAAGCTAATTGCTTCCTTATTGTCAATATTTCAGCTATTGGTAATGCCTACGCGGTATTGAGCAACCCAGAGAAGAGGAAGCAATATGACCAGTTTGGAGATGAGAAACTCAACGCTGCTCGGCATGGACACAGTCACTCGGACTTCCACCGCGGGTTTGAGGCAGACATCTCCCCCGAGGACCTCTTCAACATGTTTTTTGGTGGTGGTTTTCCTTCTAGTAAGCATGTTAAACCTTAATCTCTTGAATGGGACCTGATCCTTTTGACAGAGCAACAATGCAGTAGTGGTTTACTCGGCTGTGCAAGGATTGCTGAGTTTGATGAGAGAGAGTTCTCCTTCATACATGACCTAAACACCTAGCGTTTTCTAAATTGTTCAGATGGGTACTTGGAGAACTCGGCATCCAGCAGGTAATACCATCAGAGCTGGACTTCTTCCCAACTTCAGGTATTTGTTTGCATGCTGGCAACATTAGCTGTTATTAGGTTGGGTTGAATGTTAGAACAAAAAATGACTTGCTTTAAGGCTAGTTGTAAAAATAATCCTATTTTGAAGAAGCCTTTTCTGCTTGGTGGTTTTAGAAGTTAAATCTTCTCATCAGAACAAACTATGGTAATGCCTGGGCCTTGTTCTTGATCTATATCTGCTCTGCCACGCAGCTGAAGCAGTTTCTCTGAGATCAGTGTCCACTTCCTTCTTTCCACTGTGTCCCGTAAAAAAGAGGACAGTGTTATTTCTAGAGCGTAATTTAAACCTCTTGAATTGAAAATTAAATCTGTATCCTGTCTATCCACAGTACTGATCATGGTTTGGGTAGCAGGAAAGAACCGAGTGACTGTTCCTTCACTTGGTCAGTTCTGATCAAAAAGACACAGATTTAATATAAGGATAAGGGTATTTTAGGAGACTCCCTTGTATTTGCTCTAGTCAGATTTGACTGGCAGTGGAGGCAGTGGTTCTTTGACCTCTGTGGACCAACTTGGAAAAATAAGTATTTTTGTTTCAATTGAGAAGATTTACTCTGGTAGCTCTTTCCTATCTGGTATGTAAGAATTAACACACTAATGTCAAGTACTTGCAAAGGCATCTTGAAGCCTTTTGGAGCATTCATGTTCTGCCTGTCAGAGAGGTAAAGCTACTCCAGTAAAAACAGCAGGTTGCTATTTTAGCTCAGTCTTTTTTTCCTTTCTCACTGTCCCAAGAGAATTCAGGACCGCTTTCTCAGCCGGTCTCCCTTTTCAGCTGTAGTTTTGACATTTAAAACAAGACATGGAAGAGCTCTGGTTTTGGGGTGGAAAAACTACCAAAATTATTTCTTTTTGTAGTTGTAATTTTTTAATCTAAAGTAAATTCAACTAGAAGCGAGGAGGCCTGTACAAGATATTCTCTCTACATAGCTGACCCTGCTTTGAGCAGGTGGTTGGACCTCACGAGGTCACTTCCAACCTGAATTTTCATGTGATCCTACAAAATCCTATAGATGGGTCTCTGTTCGCCTTCAGACGTACATGCTCGGTACACCTTAGGAATACTTCTTTTTCAGCTGTGGCTTATATAGCTCATTTTATTAAATGTTGGCTTCAGCTGATGAATAGATTTTTTTTGTTTGAATTCTTTTATCAGTCTCCAGTGAAGTCCCATATCCGCTTCATCCTAAAGCTACAGCCATCCCTGTCAAGACAGCATGATGGAGTGGCTTGAGTCAGGGGCTTTGGCCACGTGGCCTGCTGACCAAAACCATGGACAGGCACCTTGTGCACTGGGACGTATGCAGGGATCTCAGGAATAGCCCAAGTCTGTCAAATCACCATTTCACTGAGACATCCCAGCTCCAGCCTGGAAGCAGCCCAGCCGGGCAGATGTGCCCTCCTTCTTCCAGCTCTGAACTGGCTGGCATGCTGCTGGCTATGTGAAGTAGGCTAAACTGAGAGCAGTGGCAACGGCAGACCAGATCTAAGTGCGAGCACAGCATGGATTCCTTTACAATCTCTTACATCTTTGCTGAGTGTGGCCCGGACCAAAGAAACAGATCAAGCCCATTCTGGCAATGTTCAAAGTTACAATTCCTGAATTTGCTGTTGTCAGCACCCAGTCTACTTTTTCCTACTGTGTTTTTATTGGTGAGGCTGACATGGAACATGGCCACCTTTTGCGGTTCCTTCCTGGCCAGCCAGCACCATCTTACATGCTCTGACTTTTGTGTAACAGTTTTGTTTTGCCTATAGGTAGTGTTCACGTATACAGCAATGGCAGGATGCGATATACCTACCATCAGAGGCAGGACAGACGAGAACATCAGGGTGACGTAAGTGGAGAACAGGCGGGGGCTGGGAGTTTAAAGGTTTTTCCGATACATGAATTGCGAGCTAGTTGGTGTGACTGTCTTGTGAAACAGTCCTGCTTGTTTCCACCCCCCTGAACAGAAAGCTGGAGTCGTGGGAAGTGAGCTGCCTTCAGAATTTACACCAAGTTGCGGTTTAATTTACTGGTGGTTGTTCTCCTGGGACTCTCATAGCTGTCGTCCAGTGGGGAAAATGCTGGTGTGTCTTGAAACAGTGCCGCCTTGAAATAAGATTGCACCAGTAAAGTGTACCAGTCTTTACCACAAGATAAGCATTTCCTTTCTGATTTAATTCTGTAATTTCAAAAGGTAAATCCAGTTTTCAGATAATGTGGATACTCGTGGCTCCTCCTAACATGAACTCATTCTCCCTTTTATTCCAGTATTGAAGATGGGGTGTTTCTAATCTGTGATGCTTAATTAACCAAGGAAGACGCTTTATAGCATGAGCTATTTTTATGTTTTCTCACCACAGAAAATCTAATTATATCTCCAGCGCTTCAAGCCCTCTGGTCTAGAGAAGTGAGAATGAGGGACTTCTTATTTAAGATACCAGGGTTATATATTGAAGATTACTGTTTTCTGGCGATAGCCAATTATTTTTTTTTTTAGAAAACAAACAACAAGAACTTAAAGGGGAAAGTGTATTCTGCTGGAACTGGAGGGACCTCAGGAGGTGAGGTAGAGGGGGAATTACTTTCATCTGATATTGAAGAGGGGAGAAGGCTTTCCATAAAACCAGTTCTGCTCACTAGCACAAGCAGGACAGAAACCACATATGCTCTAGAAAAACAAAACATGGGCACGAGGCTTTTGAAATTCACTCACAAGGTTCCCCCTGCCAGTTCCCTCTGCCCTTTGTCACATCTGGAGAAGGGGCAGTGGGTTTGGACCTTTGGAGTCACGCTGTCCTTTCTGGAGGGGAACTGTGAGCTGCTGGGTTCCCCCCCAGTTATTTTGGGGTGCCTCCTAAGCCAAATGCCTGCGAAAAGCAGGAGAATCGAGGTTGTGTTAGGGCTGAGAGGGAGAGAGAGCAATGCTATGGGATCCTAGTGTACAAGTGATTGGGTGGCACTCCACTGTGTGTTTCTGTTCCTTCAGGGTGGCCTTGGGTTGTTTGTCCAGCTGATGCCTATCCTCATCCTGATCATTGTGTCTGCTCTCAGCCAGATGATGGTCTCCAGCCCACCCTACAGTTTGAGCCAGAGGCCGTTAGTACCCATTACTCTAAAACTTATCCAGCTGGGGCGGGGGGTGGGTTCTGGAGGGCGGGGTGGCGTGATGGGGTAGGGATCTAGGCTCTCTGTTTTTCCTGTCTTTTTTTTTGTTGTTGTTGCTTTATCTCATCACACAGTTGCTCTTGCTGCCAGATGTCTCGCACATCAGTGAAGGCCTCCTGGTTCTCAAACAGGTCTTGAGATGGAAGGTGTGGGGAAGGTTGGAGGGTGCTCACTTGCCTAAGGGAGGATGTTGTTTGACAGGGACCTTCTGCAGCCCATACCCGCAGCTGTGGGTCTGTCCTAGAAAGGGACAGACGAGAGACTGTAGCCCAGCACCCACATCCCATATGCAGAATGAATTGAGATGTAGAGTTAAAATTGGGGTGTGATAAACAAAAGCCAGATCTGTTCTTCATGAAAGCCTCAGTTTTATGCCTGATACAAAACAACAGAGGAAGAGAAGAAGGTATAAAAGACACTCCGGTAGAGTAAAAGACACTCCCAGAGAAATCTCATTTTTGAACTCTAATCTTGCCATGAAATAGCTATGGCCAGACATTTACTATGTGAAAGTGAAGCTGTTTTATTCTAGATCCTGTGGAAATGCCCCGATCTGCTCACTTGGCTGACAAATGAAATGAGTCTTTATTCTTACTCACTTTGCAGTGCCAACAAAGAATGGGAAAACAGGCTTGATTTCTGGCTGCTTGCATCATTCTTGACAAAAGCTTAATGTATTGTCAGTGCAAGTTCCTCATGCGTATTTAAAGAGGGTAGACTTGGTTACAGCCAGTGGGCCCTGTTTAGTTTCACAGGTGACAACATTTGCCATCGATGATGTTAAATACTATAAAACCCAGCTCAGCTTTCGGGTCCAAGGTAAAGACTGTGACATTAGTGCTTGGAACTGAACAGTGGAGCGGTTTTGAAGAGGGCGCAGTTAAGGGTTATTCTGAGAGGCTAAAGAGTATTGAGATGTGATTTCTGCAGTTGATATTAGGACTATAAAATTAAGCATGATATATCTATACCAGTTTGTTTTATACTGGTGAAGAGGCGGTTTATGGGGCGAGAAGACATTCAGTGGAGGGCAGCTTTTAAGTGGGCAGGGATTTGCTTCCAGCCTTGTCAGCTGTCAGAGGAAAGCCATCCCTGAGCCCCAGGGGTTTCTCTGCTGCTTGGTTCCCCGTTCCCTGTGCTGTCCCTGTCTCTGCGTGCTTGACTAGCAGCAAGCAAACCGATTTCCAAGTTTGGATTTGGACAAGAGTGGCAAATGAGCCGTTCCAGTCCTCTGTCATTCTCCCTGAGTGACCAAGGCACTTCAAACGAAGTTAGCTCGGGAGCAAAAGGCGTGCTGTGCCGGCAGGCGGTGCTGCTCGCTTGCTCGCTCGTGCAGGCAGCCGGGCCCCTTTTGCTGCCTGATGTAAAGGGAGATGCTGTGCTTGGCTGTCGTTTGGCAGAAAGCTGGAGCTTGCCGCGCTGAACTCAGTGAGCAGAAGGCGAGAAGCTTTTGAACCTGGTGAGGTTTTAATGGCGCACGGAGATTTTAATGCCACTTCTTGATAGTGAAGCTGTCGCTGAGAAAGGCGACAGAATGGTCCTAAAGAACCATTTGTCACTCCGTTGCCTTTGTAAATCTCTTCCAAAAACTAGCTTTCTGCCAAAAGACCTGTCTAGTTGTGGGCCTGTCTGTGCCACCCTGCTCTTCATTAACACCTCATCGAATTTGCCTGACTTAATTGCATGTCTGACTTCAGGTGGCAGGTTTCTTGTGCCAGCTCCTGCCCTTATTTTCATGCTTTACACTCCAGCGCATGCTGCTGAAGCTCTGTGAGCTTAAATACTCCTCCTTTGAGGGCATACTTTATAGCCTCTGTAGTTCATCTTTATACAGAAGAGGAATATGAACTTCGGGAGAGCTTAGAGCTCTGTCTTGACGGGTTAAATAGTGAGCTGAGCTTCTTCCAGACTGCATCTCTGCCAGCAGGCACTGCCGGAGATGCGTTAGCCTTTGTCTCAAAAAATGCCAAGAGAGCTTTTTGGTCATGTTCAGTCTATCCGGTTACCCACCGCTCGTCCCTGAGTGCTGGACCTTGATGAAACGTGCAGGAGTCTTTGAATCACTCCTGTAAACCCTGATAACAGACTGAAGGGCGAGCCAGATGAGTTAATGTTTACACCTGGCTTAAGAATCGGGCTTGCTTTTAATGCAGCAAGCCAGCTGGTATTTATTATGGGAAACTTTGGGCACATCTCCAATTGGAGCTGTTCCTGATGAATCCAGTGTTTGGGCACAGGTCCTGTGTTACAGCTTGCAAACACGCCCTAGTGAGTATCTCTAGGTTTGCTGGAGTGTTGAGGAAAATAAGTACAGGACTCTGTCTGAAATGCAAATCCACAGGGGTAGGGTAAGAAGAGATTTCCTTCTAGAAAGTGCTTTCTGTACTAGTCAGTGCAGGCTCGAGTGCAGAGCGGGTCTAGTTTTGTTCTTGCAGCAACAGTGTTCGTTGCAGCATGTGATGTGGTAGAGGAAGCTGACGCTCTTGGGGTTAGCAGATATCTTAGCAGAGGGGACTGGGTTCGACCGACGGGCAGCCTTGCTGAGCAAGGGGGGGGGGTTGCTGGGGAGCTGTGACAGCCAGCCCCTGCTCTGCCCTCACCTCGGCGCTGCCGTCCTCCGCTGCGCGGGCACCGTTCTGCCTCGCTGGCTGCTCTCACCCTGCACCGCGCAAGCATCAGCCTCCGAGCTTTGTAACCATCCTTGGGGCTCACCGCCAAAAACAGATGGTGGTGTCGTCAGCAAGGAAATTGCAGAGAGGTTTAATTAGTGCTGAAAATTCTAATGAACACTTTATTTTAAGTGGGTTTAGGCCTTGGGCAATCTGCCTCAGAGTTATGTCTGTATTCAGAGCTCTGCCCACCTAGCTAGAGGCCTGGCAGGTTTTCTCTCCCTGTGTTGGCGTTCCGTTTCCACCAGAAATGCTTCTCCTTTCCAAACCTTCAAGTCTGTGGATGCATAGGAGTGATGTATGTTTTCAGCGGTTTGGTATCGTGGCATGTTGTGCATTATAAAGAGCTGGGAGCTTTTTCCTCTGCCCTTGAAGCGTGTCCTACACTGTTCTGCCTCTTCTCCCTGAACTAGGTCTGTGGGTCACATACAGAGGAGAGTGACAGAGCACTTGAAAGTCGTCTACTACGTATCCGAGAACTTTGCAGATGAATATACGGGCACGAACCTGAAAAATGTTGAAAGGAGCGTGGAAGACGACTACATTGCAAACCTTCGAAATAACTGCTGGAAAGAGAAGCAGCAGAGTGAGTAGTATGGGGTCGGGAGCGGAGGGTCTTGGCTGCTGCACGAGGTCGGCTTCAGAAGGGTCTTCTATTGGGGACTGAGTTATGCTAAAGTTACACTTTAACATGGTGCAAGCACATTTCCTGTGGTGTTGGCTTTTTTTCCTATCTATGAATTCGTGACAAATCCAGTATGTGGGGTTTTTTTGTTTTGTTTTGTTTTTTAATGCTGCTGTAGAACTGGTCAGACAGGAGTTGTGCCCCGGAGGTTCCCTGCCGTGTCAGTAGGATATCTCTGATTTCCAGTGGAGGGGGAAGGTTGCAGTCATCTCATTTTCAGGAGGCCCCCGATAGCTCTGCGTAATATTTTAGTTGTTCGAGGACCGTGTCTGAAAGTCTGCTGTGTCCTCCATCCCGCATCCCATCCCTGCTCTGAAGGCTGCGGTGGCAGCACTGACGTCGCCTTGCCTGCTGCTGAAGGCACGCAGGGTTGGGAGGGACGGAGGTGATCTGGCCCTCTAGCCAGGCAGGAGAGTGTGGCGAGGGCAGCAAACTGTTTGCCAAATCCCAGGGGTGACCTGACTTCTCTGCCCGCCTGTTCCCAGCTCTTGGAGCAGGGGCTGGGGTAGGATTTGAGCACCTGGGAGGCAGGAGGGGCTGTCAGAGCCCCCAGTGGTGCCAAATGAGGTCGATGCACCCATCTCTGAGCCTCTGCGTTTCTGCTGGGGTAACCTTTGTGTAGGCTGCCTCATGTGCCTCCTGGGACTAGAGGCAGGTCCTGTCAGGTTCCTAAGGCTTTCCCTGGGATGGATGAGCTGTCAGCAAATGTTACGCCCATCCTGTCCTAAAGGGCACGGGGCATTTCCTCAGCTTCATCCTGTGCTTCACCTCGCCTTGAAGAACTCGAGGTGCCTCCTGTTCCCAGCAGAACCCGTGGTGGGACGTGGCCCGGCGGGTGGGTCTCCTTCCACATCTCGTCTGTAACGCTGGGCTTTTCCCTCTGCAGAGGAAGGCTTGTTGTACCGGGCACGCTACTTCGGAGACTCGGATCTGTACCAGCGAGCACAGAAGATGGGCACCCCCAGCTGTAGCAGACTGTCAGACGTTCAAGCCTCTCTGCACGGATAGTCACCGCCTGCCCGCTCAGCAGAGGTCTAAGTACGAGCCGGTGATGCTTCCCCTGGCAGCGGAGCAGGGCACGATAGTGCTTTTCATACTTACTTAAATCTCTGTTTGAGACACAGATCTTCACGAGTCTCCTCTGGATGCACACACGTCACAGGGGGAAGCACCCCCCTCCGTCAAGCGTACACTCGTTAATTGGGAAATTGATTTTGTTTAGTTTGCATGTCGGCACCCTCGGCTCTCTCCAAGCTCCCTGTTTTCTCTGGCACTGCCGCTGTCGGGTCTCTAGGAACAGAGCAAAAGCCCTGGGCGTGTTGGCGACTCAGCTGAGGTCTTGTCAACTGCGCATTTGATACAGCGGCTATGTGCGCCTCGGCTGGTTGGAAGGTTTTTTACCGGCCATGGCAGCCAGCAGCCACATTTTAATGAACCTTTTTTTGGTTGCTTTCTTGTCTGTTTTACTGAAAAAGCTGTTATCCCCTGGCACTTGAAGCAATATGATGACAGGGAATGGACTCCTACTAAACAGATGTTCCTTGCCCTCCCGTTGCCTTCCCATGCCGCTCAAGGAGAACAAAGCAAATGGCCAGAATTCACAGCAGGTTGTAGAAGTAACTTACTGCGTTAAACTGGGAATCAAAGTAAAAGCAGCTGAGGGGGAGTCTGGAAGAGTTGGGGGTTGGAGAGCTTGAATTAAGGCGAGCCCAGATAGCACGCGTGAGACCGGGTATGCTGGGTCCAGGGAGAGCTGCACAAAAGTAATGAAAAAAAATTGGCGCGGAGTTTGGAGTCCTTTTTCTGCTTAATTTTCTGGGCTGATTTTGCCTACCGGATACTGCTGGGATGGCTGTAAAACATACAGGTCCCTCCTACCACAAAATTATTTGAAAACAGGGTTTCTATAGAAAATAAATCGGAGGTGAAGCTTGCACCAAGCGTTAGTTGTACGGACACCATTTAGGCTTGCAAAGGCTTCTTGGGGACGTTGGACATCTAGCTGTTTGATTTGTAGACACAAGGTTTAGCAAAGGAGGTTTTGTTTGATTTTTATTTTCCTTGGCAAAGGGAGCGCGTCTGAAGGTTTGGCCTTTAAAGCAAATCCTCTGGGTCGCATTCGGCCTTTTTTTGGGTGTATCCTGTTTTTGGAACCATTCTTATCTTGATACGCCCGCTCTCTTGTTTTGATAACTGCGCCTCTTCTTTGACGATAGACCAGCATTAATTACCTGCTTTTCTTTAATTCCCTTTCTGTACCCGTGGTCTGAAAAGAAGGCTTCTCTCAGGCAGAGGGCCTGCTGCGGATTGAAAGAGCGCGACTGAAAAAGCTGCTGCCTGTAATGGGGAGGGGGGAAGGAAAGGGGGAGGTACGGTGACGTGCGATCGTCCGGAGACTGACACCGCTACCGCTTTTGTTCCCAGACTCTTGAAATGCCTGAAGACTTTTGGTGAAGTGCACTGAGCCGAGGTGACAGACTTGGTATTTAAAAGAATCAAACCTTATCTTAAAAATGGAATTGGAGAATTAGCAACGCACAACTGCCCTCTTTCTGCCTGTCTCCGCCGTTCGACCTATGTCTCAGGCAGCGATTAGGACAGGAAATCAAGCTGCCCGTCTTCCTCCTTCCCTTCCGACACCGCTGCCGTGCGACAGTCTCGTTGCTCCTGGGATCCACAACCCCGAGAACAAACGCGTAGAGTGTAAAATAACACGAGCTAACTGCAGAAGCCGTGAAGCAAAAGGAGACCCTTCGCGACTGCGCTGGTCACTGCCGCCGGAGAGAGAAATTTGACAATTTGGTGATAAAAGAAAGCTTTAGGAAAAAGAGAAGAAAATATAATCTATTTAGAATTAATTTATAGCTGTATATATGTTGTACTTTTAAACTATGCAGGGGCTTGGATGATTAAATTATTTTGTTTTCTGCCTGGTTTGGTAAACAGGGAAGCGGGAAGTCTCTTCCCAGGGTGTCTCGCTCTGCAGCGCTTTCCTGCCTGACACACTAAAACAAGAATCACTTCGCAGTTACTGTATTTTGCTTTCTGGAGGACAGCGGCGTTCTGCGGCTTGGGATGTCGATACCTGCCTTTCGGGTTTTAATAAAAGAAATTCCAAATCTGTAGGGGGTAAGAAAGAAATCGGGGAAACTGTCCAGATTTGTGGTGTGGTTTTGCAGCGTTGGCAGAAGCTGCAGCGGGTCAGCTGAGCCCCGGGCGTCGCACTCGGTGACGGGAAAGATTGTCCTGGATGGTTTTCACTCATCAGTCGTTGGGTTTGTTTGTGCACATAACTTCTTTTTTTGCAGAGTCTGCTTTAATTTTGCCTCGTAATCAGCGTGCGGCATTCGTTCTGTAAAGAGGGCTTTCCACGAGCCGTCTCCCTTTGTTGGTTTTTTTTTTTTGTGTGTCCTACACTTGGGGTTCCTCGCCCACCAGCACTCCCGTTTGCAATGTGGTTGTGGCCTTGACACTCTATCTCTAACGTTTCCTAGAGGAGACCTGTAAAATACTGCTAATTCATAAGAAACGGAGCTTTCTATTGCTTCTGTTGAAAGAAGTTTTGCCGGGGGGAGATCGGAGAGCGCGCCTGATCTCTCCTCGGACCCCGCCTGAGCTCTGCAGCGCGTCTCTCACGCGATCGCCGTCGGGCAGGACCGGCGTTAGGGCGGTGGGAGGGCGCTCCAGGTTAGGAGTCGTCTCTTTGAAGCAAAACCGGCATGAGCGGAGCTACCTCCCGTGGAATAAACTGGACTCTGGGTTTTTTTGGTACTCTGCAGTTCATTTTTGTCTAAGGACATTTCCAGTAAGAACCGTCCCCCGACACCCTCAGGGGAATGAATCAAAAGCGCGGCAGCTCCCGGGGGGGTGGCTGGGGCTGGAAGAGGTGGGAGGTAAGGTGGTTTCATTTCTTTATTGTTAGGAATCCATGTGCTCTGTTGTCTTCTATTTATTTATTTTGCAAAATATCAGCCCTCCCGTTAACTGCAAGCCTTACTGTCCCACAGCCACCATGACTTGGACCTGATTTTAAGGGGTTTTTTCCTTCTTTTTTTTTTTTTTAAATGATTCCTCCGCCTTTGGAAGGAATTGGGTGGAAGTACGGCATTTGGAAATAGCTCTTACTAGAGGCACCGGCTAGCCGGCGTGAAGAGATCATGGGGAGGGGGTTAAACAAAAATCATGTTCGCAAAAGGTGCGAGTGTCTTGCACAACAGCATTCCTTGCCCAGAGCCTGCCCGCCAAAACCTTTTGATTTTTTTTTTTTCCCCCAAGTAGATATCCATGGATAATAACGAGCGAGAAGGCGTAGATCCTAACGGATGCTCACAGAGGCTGTATCTCTCGATTTAGAATTAATTATACAATTGTACATCTATAAATAAATGTTTATAACGTGAAAGGCTCCGGCTCTGTTGGTGTCCTGTGGATCCTTGCCCCAGCCAGCTCCGGTTTTACAGCTCCTTCCCGCCGCCTTCGACGCATGCGCTCGGTGAATGAAATTCGTCCTCTTTGCCGACCCTGAGAGCTCCAGCGCTGCGGGGGCCTCCCCGCCGTGGGAGAGGGAAGGACGGGGAGAAGATGGAGAGGAGGTGGTGCCCCCCGGAGAACGTCCCGGTGTTTTAGGGTGCCCTTTGGCCGGCTCCCCATTCGTGCAGGAAGGCTCAGGCCGCCTTTGTCCTGGGCGGAAATG